GACTAAAGAGGATAGAAGGAGAATTGATGCCTTTGAGCTGTGGTGCTGGAGAAGAGTATTGAGGGTACCATGGGAAAACAAACAGATTCATCCTGGAAAGGGTTTAACTGGGCAGCTCCTTGGAGGCAAGGATTCTGAGGCTCCATCTAACATACTTTGGATATATTGTAAGGAGGGACAGGTCCTTGGAGAGGGACATCACGCTTGGGAGGGTGGAGGGACAGTGCAGGAGGGGAAGACCCTCTATGAAGTGGATTGATTTAGTGACTGGGGTAATCGGGATGGGAGTGTCAGAGACAGTGCGGTTGGCACAGGACAGAGTTTAGGGCTGTAGTACATAGAGTCACTGTGAGTCGCAAGCGACTTGATGGCACATAACAACAACAACAACAACATATTCCTGGTAGTGGAATAGCTGGGTCATATGGAGTCTCTATGTACAGCTTTTTGAGGAAACGCCAATCTGCCTTCCAGAGTGGTTGTACTATTTTATAGTCCTGCCAGCTGTGTGTGAGAGTTCCAGTCTCTCCACATCCTTGCCAACATTTATTGCTTACTGTTTTGTTCTATTTTGCTGCTGCTACTAGGGTGAGATAGTATCTCACATCACTAATTGTTAGTAATTTTGAACATTTCTTCATGTGTCTGTTGACCATTTGAATGTCTTCCTTTGTGAAAGATCTTTTCATGTCTTTTGCCCATTTTATTATTGGATTATCAATAGATAGGCTTTTTTCTGAGATAGCATTACCAAATATTTGTTCCCAATCTGTAGGCTTTCTTTTCACCTTCCTGGAAAAAAGGTTTTATGTACACACAAGGACTTGATGTTTAGAAGGTCCCCCTCTTGAAGGATCACACCCACAGAGGAAGGTTGCCAGGTGATTTTTCTATGCTTCCTAAAAGCAGTTAAACAGTATAAACTGCTTTTAATTCAACACAGTTAACTCTTGTTTGCAAAAATGTGTTGGAATTTGCTTTCCTCTGTTTTCTGTCTTCCTTTTTCACTCTGGTAGGTTCCTCTTCACTGTGTTTTCATGCATTTTCAAGCATGCCCTCAAGTTCTGGTAACCAGCTGCCATTGATTTGACTCCTTGGTGACTTGTACCAGAGTAGCCACACTGGGTATTCTCAGTAGCTGATATTTTGGAAGCAAGCTCATGAGGCCTTTCTTTTCTTTTCTTTTTTCTTTTTTAAATAGTACTAGCTTATTTACAAAATTTGAATACACTGTTTTTCACACTAGTTTCTTCCAGTTTCCCTCATGCCCTCACCCATCAAATTGTGCATCCCCATAATTAATCCCCCACCCCTCCTGCACATCCTCATTTGTCTGCTTCCCCTCTCCTCCTCCCACCTTGGATCCTCATACTCATTCTGCAATAATGGTCGTATACAGTATTTGTCCTTGTGGGACTGAGTAAGTTCACTCAGCATGCTCTCCAGTCCCTCCCAAGTTAGGTCATAATTTACAAAATCATTGCTCCTGTGTGCTGTGCAGTATTCCATTGTGTGAATATACCATAATTTCTCAATCCTTTTTATTGTGGTTGGACATCTGAGCTGTTACATGTTCTTGCGATGGTGATTAACGCTGCTGTGAACATTGGTGTACAAGTCTCTGCTTGTGCCTCACTTCTCATTTTTTCAGGTTATATTCCAAGCAGTAGAATAGCTGGGTCACATAGAATTTCCATGTTCAGCTTTTTGAGGAAGTGCCAAATTACCTTCCAGAGTTGTTGTACCATTTTACAATCCCACCAACAATGTATAAAAGTTCCTATTTCTCCACCTCCTCTCTAACATTTATCACTTGCTGTCCTGTTAAACTTTGCCACAGTTACTGGAGTGTGATGGTATCTCATTGTGGTTTTAATTTACATCTCTCTTCTTGCCATTGATTTTGGGCATTTCTTCATGTGTCTGTTGAGGCCTTTCTTTGGATAAGCGTCTTGGCAGGGTTGATTCTCTAGCCTGTAGGTTAGCAGCCAAGTATTTGACTGCCTGTCCCATTCAGGGTCTTCTCAGTTCTAGTAGACTTTGTTAAGAAATTGTATCATTTTGTACCTGATTTATTATTATCTCAGATTTGAAACGGTCTGTTAGATTTTGGTATCACAAAGGGATAGCAGCCACTGAAGGATTAAGGAAATTAACCAGTGAGCAATTTAGGATTGAGAAATTTATTTTGTTTGGCTGAATGATGTCATGGAGATAAATTATATGCATGAGTCCTTGGAGTGAGTATATGAGTATTGACTTTTTGATTGAGGTATACTGTGCACGTAGATGTTACTTTGAGGACTGAGGTGACTTGACCCAAGGGATGGCATTATCAGTCATATGATATACCCATGAAAGTTGGACAGTGAGTAAGGAAAATTGATGTTTATTAATTGTAGTGTTGGCAGAGGACATTGACTGTACCATAGGCTTCCAGAAGAACAAACATATCTATTTTGGAAGCAGTGCAGCCAGAATGATCCTTGAGGAAGAGAATGGTAAAACTTCATCACACATACTTTAAACATATTATCAGGAGGAAAGGACCCTGGAGAAGGAAAGGCATTGTGTTTCATAGAATCAATAAAAGTGAGTAAGAGCCTCAGTGGGCTGGATTGACTCAGTAATTGTAACACTTGGTTCAGGCATCTCAGTGATATTTTAGAATGGCACAGACCAGGCAGTGTTTTGTTCTGTTATTTATCTGTTATATAAGGTTATCGTTCATAGACACCTAATAGCATTCACATATTTTTGTAAATTTATAATTTGATGTGAGTTTTGAAAAATGTGTATATTCTAGATATTATTTTGTGCCCTTAAGACTATCCAACTCATAATGACTCCACGTGACGGAGAAACTTGCTTCATCTGGTTTTTGTGTGTAATGTTTTTGGAAGTAGATTGTTGGGTTTTTCTCCCTTGAAGCCACAGGATGGGTTTGAACTACCAACCATTCTGTTTGCAGCTGAGTGCTGCCTCAGTTAAAATATGTTGTTGTTGGGTTCCATTGAGTCAGCTACACCTCATAGTGACCCTGTGAACAGATCTGAACCTTGCCATTCTCAACAATCATCTCTGATATGCTTGAGCCTGTTTTTTTAGTCACTGTATCAATCCCTCTTTTTCTTTCTCTGACATCTATCTTTCTCAACATGATATTTTTTCCCAAGGACTGGCCCACCTGTCAATATGCCCAAAGTAGGAAGAAAAAATGTCACCATCTTTGCCTCTTAAGGAGCACCCCAGTTGTACTTCCTCCAAGACAGTCTTGTTTGTTCTTTTGACGGTCAGTGGGATACTCAGGAGTCTTTTCCAAAACCACAGTCCAGAGGCATCAATTTCTGTCATCCTTATTCATTGTACAGCTTTCACATGCATTGCATAGGAAGCAGTTGGAAGAACCATGGCTTGGGGTGGGCATACTTTAGTTTTTAAACTGACCTTCTGGCTCTTTAGTACTTTGGAGAAGTCCCTGACTATAGATTTTTCCAGTGCAACACTTTTTAAATTTTTTGACGGGTGTTGATTGTGGATCCAACTAAGATGAAATCATTGACAACATCGATCTTTTTTCTACCTCTTGTGATGTTGCCTATTGGTCCAGAGGCGAGAAGTTGTTTTCCTAATATTTAGATGTAATCCATATTGAAGGCTGTAGTCTTTGATCTTCTACAGCAATTGTTTCAGGTTTTCTTCAGTTTCATTAAGTAAGGTTGTGTCATCTACGTAACACAAGTTGTTGATGATTTTTCATCCAACCTGATGCCACATTGTTCTTCATATAGTCAGCTTCTTGAATGATTTACTTAACATACAGATTGAATATGTATAGAGAAACATATGACCCTGGCTCACAATTTTCCTGATTCTAAACTGTGCAATGTCCCCTTGTTCTGTTTGGCCAATGTTCTCTATAATTTGTTATGATCCACACAGTCAAATGCCTTTGCATAGTCAATAAGACAAAGAAACATCTTTTTTTAATCTGTATGTATTTATAAACATCTGGTATTGTCAACTTTTAGCCAAAATCCATCTGCCATGAGCAATGATATTCCTCATTGCATGGCCTCTTCTGAATCTAGGTTGAGTTTTTGGAAGTTCCTTCTCAATGTATTGTTCCAGCCATTGTTTTTATAATCTTTAGCAAGATTTTATTGCATGTGATATTAGTGATTTTTTAAAATAATTTCTACATTCTTTTGGGTCACCTTTTTAAAGAATAAGAACAAATCTAACTCTTCGAATCAGTTGACTAGGTAGCTATTTCCAAATTTTTTGGCATGGGTTAGTGAGCACATTGAGGACTGCATGTTTGTTGAAACATGTCAGTTGGTATTCCATTAACTTCTGGGGCCTTAATTTTTACCAGTGCCTTCAGTGTGAGCTTCCTTTATTACCACTGGTTCTTCATCATACACTGCTTCCTGAAATGGTTCCATGTCAACCAATTCTTTTTTGGTACGATGATTCTGTATTTCTTCCATATCTTTGTGATGCTTCCTGCATCACTTAAGATTTTGCCTGTAGAAGCCTTCAGTATTTCAGAATTGGATGACCATTCCTGCTTCTTAGTCTGAAAGCTTTATGGAAACTTGTCCACATTGAGCTGTAATTTGAAATACTGGTGACATAGCTTCCAGCCTCATAGTAACCTGCAGGTCTCATCAGTATAGCAAACTGACAGTCATCCCTATCTTCTCATCAAATTTTAACACTTCTATTTAATTTGCCTCTTAAATTTAGTAATGCATGGTGATTTAGCTTACATATTGACCACATAAACTTATTGCTGGTACTGACTAGTAAGGGTTTTGCTTGTGATATTTATATGTTATTGTATCTTTTTGCAGAGATCAAAAAGTTTCTTCAGCATTTCAAAACAAAGCACAATTTTTAAAGTCGACTCTTGTTTTCTGAGACTTTCTTGACTACTTTACTGGGATTTCTTCATGGGTTCCCTAATATATTTGTTCCATTTTTTACCCCCCAAGGTCTTGTCCAGAAGGCTAAGAAAGCAAAAAACAGGCTGCTGAAACGAGAAGGAGATGACCGAGCAGAATCCGGCACCCAAGGCTATGAGTCTTTCAACTATGGAGGGGTCGATCCTTATATGTGGGAGCCCCAGGAACTTGGTAAGAAAAGTCATTCAGCAAATAGTAATTGTGTTCCCAGTGTTTTTAGGGCTTATTGAAGAGGCTTTTAAAACCAGAATGGTTTCAACTTCTCAAAATGGTTGCCCCACAATGAGGAGGCTGAAGGTTGACTGGAATTGCTAACCTTTGGTTAACAGCCAAATTCTTAACTATAATGCCCTTAGTAACTATTGTTTTGAGCAATGGGAGCACTTTTATCATTGCAGAAAGTTATATTGAACAAGAGTGTCTTAGAACAAAGTATAGAACATGGACGAGTCTAGAGAACATCTGAGTGAAATAACTCAGTCACAAAAGGATAAATACTGTGTAAGACCACTCTGCTGGTGGTTTAATGGTAAGGAATTGTGCTTCCAACCCAAATGTACGCTGTTTGAATCAACAAGCTGCTTCACAGGGGAAAATGGACAGTTTCCTCCTGTGAAATTTACTGCCTCTGAAAACCCACTGGCGTGTCAGCTGTGAGCCAATTCTGATTTGATGGTACATAGCAATAACAGTGAAAATAGGAAGGGGATGGTGGTCCAGGCAGGGAGAGCAGAAATAGAATGTACAGATAATGAACACTGTAAAGGATTAGTGGAGGAGAAGATAAGCCTGGAATGAATGGGAGAATAGGAAGTTTAGGTAGTCCAACTAGAAGCCTAGAACAGGACATATATAACTATTCCAAGGGCACAGGGGAAGAGGAGGAGGGAAGAAGGTTGTTGTTGTTGTTGTTATGTGCTGTCGAGTCGTTTGCAACTCATAGCAACCCTATGGACAGCAGCCCTAAACCCTGCTCTATCCTGTGCCAATCGCATTTCCTCTGACACACCCATTCTGATTACCCCAGTCACTGAATCAATCCACCTCATAGAG